TGTATTTTGTGTTATCTTCTGCAGCTTGTTCGGACATGGTCATGATTCGCTGTACAAGAGGGAGGAGGTACGCCAGGGTCTTGCCGGAGCCGGTTTCCGACTGTATGAATGCATCGCTGTCGTCCTTCAGCATTTGCGACACCGCTGCCTTTTGAATGGCCGTGGGGGTTTTCAGGTTCATCTTGGTCAAGAGGTGCGCAGCGATGGTGGAGGAAAGGCCGAGGGACGTAAAGGTGTCGATGCCGTCGATTAGAGGGGCATTGGAAGGCGCCGTTGGTTTCTCCTCTCCCTTGTCGTCCTTGGGTTCATCCTCAGTAGTCGTCGGCTTCGGGTTGTAGGTGAAAAGGGAAGAGATGACTTCGCGAGGCCCTGTCGGATGTGGTGGTCTCTGCTCATTACTTCGTTTCTGCGCCGCAAACCCTGCATCTGGCACGTGTCCATTTTCTCGCCTCCTCTTAGCGGGCCGAGCGTCTGGAGACTCGTCAGAGTGGCCTCCATGTGTGTGTGATCTCGTGCTGCCCTCGAAGCGGCCTTGCGCAATAGGGACTGTGTTTGCATCATGTCGTCTCTTCTGGTCTGTGCCTCTTTCCCCTCTCTGGGCCGACCTTTTTGCTCTGAGACGGTCTCTCCACGACCCACCTTTGAACTTCTGGGTGTTGTTTGCAGCGGCAGCGGCAATGCTGTCTTCGACTGAGAAGTTCAGGAACATGCCATCGTCCGCCATTTCACCGGTGCTCTCGGTGCTCGTCTAAAGAATGTGCAAGCGTGCAGATCTCGAACTTTTTTTCGGTGGTCGACAGAAGGCGGAGAGAAGCCGTTCTCCGATTGGCTGGCCTTGTTTAGCCTCGTTCGGCTTTGGTCCAAGCAACTGCGGAACCTCGATTCGCTTTTGTCGCTTCACTTTCTACGCTGCACATTGTATCATGCGCCCTCAAGAGACGGTGAAATCAAGGGCGTCAAAATGAGGCTGCTGTCTCTGCGACCTCGGATCAATTCTTCGTCTCTTCAACCTCTCATCCATCCTTCCTCCACTCGAGTTGGCAGCTATGGATAAACTCGTATTGAGGTCGGCCAGGTTTGGAAGTTGGACAACGCCGAAATCTCCATGGCAGCGATGCGCGCCTCCCTTTGTGATTCTTCAGAAATCACACAGAGCACGATGGAACTCCACTTCCACTCCGCCTGATTCTCCCTTTCCTGTTTTTCGACACGTGAATCAACTCCGTGCCGTACGCAGGCAGCTCCTTCTTGAAGGGCGTACTGTGGGCTTCGTCCCAACTATGGGAGCTCTACACGAAGGCCACCTCTCCCTCGTACGCCATGCTCTTCAAGAGAACAGCGATGTCTTCATCTCTATTTTCGTCAACCCTACCCAATTTGCTGCACATGAGGATCTCGATTCCTACCCGGTCACCTGGAACGAGGACATGAAAAAGTTGGAAGAGCTTCAACAGGAACACATCGAGACTGTCGATCAGTCGCAGAAACCTGGAATGATCCGGGGGGTCTTTGCGCCCACAGTCAAGACAATGTACCCTACACTTCCGCCCACTTCAGACATCGCTGGGCCGGGCTCCTTCGTCACCATCACACCCCTTGGGGCACAACTCGAAGGAGCATCGCGGCCGATCTTTTTCCGCGGGGTCGCAACAGTCTGCACCAAGTTGTTCAATATCGTCCAAGCCGAACGCGTCTATTTCGGCCAGAAGGATATTCAACAGTCCATCCTCATCAAACGGATGGTCAAGGATTTCCATATCCCTACCGAGGTTCGTGTCGTACCCACACAGAGAGAAGCGGACGGATTAGCCATGAGCAGCCGGAATGTCTATCTGGGCGATAGGCGAAGGGAGGATGCTACCGTCCTGTCCAGGGCTCTCTTTGCAACCCGTGACCTTTACAATGAGGGAGTGTTGGATGTCAGGCGCCTGCGCAAAGCAGCATTCAACGTCTTTGAGGAGGATGCCGCAAGAGTTAGAAGCGATGGGCGAGTAGGCCCTAGTGGTCGCCTTGAGATCGACTACATTGCCGTGAGCCATCCAGACACCATGGGGACCATTGTGGACGACGATAAACTCAATCCGCGCGTCGGCGCCATTGTCAGTGCCGCAATGATCGTCTCCCCAGTCGACAAGCCCAAAACTCAAGAAGAGCTGAATCAGCGCAGCGTTAGACTCATCGACAATGTGATTCTTGAACCCCGCATAAATACCCAAGATCGAAAGTACCTCAGACAGCATGCTGCCAACCCTGGAAAGTTTCGCAAGGTTCCGCAATTGAGCATTCGGAAGGTCCCTCAGGGGGCAAGGGAGGATATGAAGCCGGAGGAACAGGCCGGTGGAGTAGGAGGACAAGACGTCGAGGCACCAAAGCAATGAAATGCGCAGGGTGGCTGAACTTGAATATTGAGAGCGTGCCACATTGCAGTGGAGAGGCACTGTTAGTAGATATCCCACAATGAAATTTTGCCGTCTTTGCCGCCCGCAGCTAGCCAATGTGTCCGTCGAGCTTTCTCTTCGCGTTGCTGTTTGATCGTGTCGAGCGCGCTCATGCGTTTCGTGAGATCTTTTGCAGCGGTATAAGTCGACAACATAGCCCCGTCGCCCATACTAGCAGGTGAAGCAGTAATAGAAAGAACATTACCCCCGTCACCACCAGCCTCACGAGTAATGACAGGATCGATGACTGCGAAAGCGGTCGAATAGCATCCCACCTTGTGCCACTTCAGTACGGCTAATTCCTTCATCGTCTTGCACGAGTAGACGCGCACGCGCCCGTCCCAGCCTGCCGTGGCAAAGATCTTGCCGTCAGAGCGCACGCTGAGCCCTTGCTGGCCAGAATGTTTTGTGTTAATGCACTTTTCGCTCTGCAGGTCCTGTGCGTGCATATCGGCGAGAGACGAAGGCAGGCAGAATTTGGAGATCAGCGAGTCGGCGCCGGATGTGAAAAAGTGTGTTCTGGAATCGGAAGGGAGCGTGGCGAGCGACAGGATGGGCTGTGTGTGTGCTCTGTCGCAGCTGGTGAGTTTCTGCCACCCTGGTGGTCCATCTGGGTCGCCCATATTCCCCTGATGGGTATGGATCGCAATTCGTCCATCCTCGTAGCCCGATATAAGGACGAGTCGCGAGTCTGGTCCTGTCGTCTGGTGAAAAAGGCACACAGCCATCACCATCCCTGCTGGGCTGCCTGTGTCTGACCGGATCTGCGACACCCGTCTCTCCGATGGGAGTTGGAAGATGTCAATCCCACCCGAGTCTAGGCCGTTGGGCGAGGCAATGAGTTGAGGCGCAGGTTCCTCGCTCGCAGGGTGTCGTGGATCCTGATGGCACATGGAGAAGGCGCAGAAGTTGAGGGCGTTGACCGACAAGGAATGAAGGAGCCATGGCTGAGGATGAGTTGATGCTGATGCCACTGCTTCTGATGTGGTATCATTCGAGTCGTTGGGCAATTTTGTACTGAAACCTGCGAAATCTTCCTGACGAAGCTGCCAGACACGGAGTTTATGGTCTCTCCCGTGGCTTTGTTATTTCGATACCACAATATTTTTTGAATGTCAGCTAAGGTCTATTTCTTCTTACACGGGGGAGTATGGTCAACGTCTGAGAATGTGACATTGTCCGCTTACCTTATTAATCGATTGGTTGTCCAGTGCTTGATTTGCAGGATGCCCCCGTCATGCGCCTTGAATACCGCCACGGGTCGCTTGGAAGAGAGACTCCATATGACCATCCACCCGTCGCTGTCTCCAGAGGCAAGTAGGGCGTTGCTAGCGTAGAAGTGAAGAGCATGGATGGCGGCTTCATGGCCTCGAAGTATGTAGGCAGGAACTACAGGGCCAGATTCCATGGTGGCGGGGCAGGCCGTGAGATCATTCAGGTTGGCATAGTTGGGTGGGGTTGAGACTGGGTTAGATATTGCAACGTGGATTTCAGATTCATAGAGTCGGCAGGCTGATGTATCCCTCAGTCACAAAGGGAAGGTGCGATGTGGTTGATGCACCGGGTGTCCGTCTGAATTGACATGGTCTGACTGCATTGAATATGTTCTTGGCAACGTAAAGAGTCGTTCGCTGTTGACCTGAAAGTCACCGTCAATCTTGATGGAAGCTATTCGCACTTTTGGAAAAGGAGGATGACCTGGCTAGGAAACTGCGTCAACAGAAAGGTCTAGTACAGCGCCCGCTACATTGTCATTGAGCACTTGATACGAGGTGTATTTGGAGGCATTCTGTCTGCCAGGGTCTGACTGCCAGTTATTTCGCAAAGTGTGCAGTCTGACCTCGGATTTGACACCATCTCCTTTTTTTAAAGATGGCAATGTCTTTGACCGCTTCCGGAGATGGTCAAGTGGTCAGGCTGGCGAGCAACGCAAAAACCGGGCAGTTTCAAAGCATTACGCGGGATATACGAAGTACAAAGCACTTTCTATTACTACGAATGAAGAACTACTGATAATGTTGACAACGCTTTTCATGCTTCTTGATTGGGCACTTCGTGGGGACCGATCCTCAACTTGTCTCGGGTTTGGTGCGAGGGTGGGAGTTAGTCAAACACTCCACTTTATAATAGCGTCATCGGTCGGCCTTTTTCACGCTGCCGTTCAAGGAATAATGTCATCTGGAATTATTACAAGTCGAACCAGAACGGACTCCAGGATAAGTACCTCAACAGCGAACCAGTCCAACAGCAAGGAACAGAAAAATCAAGGAGAGGGGGAAGAAAAGGATGAGAAGAAGAGGAAGAACAATTATGTCACAAAGGAATAGATATGACGAGCTATACGAGGTACACTCAGATAAGCTCCGCGTAGATTTCAGCTACGCAGCAAAAGACAACACACCGACTCAAATCATACTATCAACAACGAATGATCTTGTGCGTGACACATGAGAAATCTCGATGAAAAAAAAAGGGACAAAAATCTAAACCCAATGGGTCTTTTGCTTTGCCTGCTCTGCTGAGTTGTTAGAGACTGGTATATATACTATTGTAAATATGGGTGGACCTACGCTGGAATCGAACCAGCGATCTTCTCATTTCTAACGACTGAAAAGTCTACGAGTGAGACGCTGTACCACTTAGCCAAGCAGGCTGGTTTGTGTGGAGCATTTGGGGGTAAAAACGGTGGCTATAATATATAAATGAAAATTTGGCAGATGGAGTTTGAGGGAAGGAGGGGTTTGATCGGGAGAATATCATTCCGACCACTCAAGAGGAATCCAGAGGGACTGTCTGGACCCCCAGTGTCCAATAATGGCGCTGCGAATGTTCCCGAGAAGAATTCGGGCGAAGTCGCTGCGGATTCTGGAATGTGGATTTCGGGTATACTACGGAGTGAGCCGTGTGTTGTTCGCTTGGCTTTTTCAGCTGCAAAGGCGTTTCAGGTAGTAAGTTGCGCGCTGAACCCAGTGCCCACTGACCACCGCCCCCAGTCCCAGTCCCAAATCCGTAGCAGCTCCACGGGAGGTGATATTGACAGCAGCGCAAACACCCTAGCACCCGGTCTCGACAATACCAGAACCCACTGAACTATCACCTGCCTTCACGTAAAACGTGTCCCCCCTGCCAAAAGTCTAGAGTCCACCGAAAAACAATCAGTCGGGACGGTCAGGCCCCTGTCCTCTTACAAAGAAACTTACGGCCCGCATGGGCGATGGAACCGGTTGTGGGATGTTGATGCGATGTGACCCGGCCGTCTGGTTGAGGCTGCCACGTTTTTTTGCTAACGATCACGCTACGAGGACGGGTGGAAGTCGTGGACGAACCTTAGACGGGGGGTGCGTTCATGCATGAGGCGATTCGTTCTGGAAGCGAGGGGAAACGGAGCCATCAGCCCGTCCTTGCTGCAAGGACTGAGTCGACGCGAGTTGACCGAGTTTTAAGTTGCGTAAGGGGGGTTATGGTGAGACTGTAACAACCGAGATGGGATGGCGAGACTCGCACGAGCGAGAAAGACGAGTCTTGGACGAGGGAAGGGGTCTGACAAGGATATCTGGCCATGTGGCTTCTGTGGGATCTATTGTTTAACCCCTGATTGTGTACACGTAGGGTTGTCGGAACGTGCCATGTACCGTGGTACCTTATATTTACGGGCGTCAGACTAAGGATTTCATGCGTGGTGCATCGCAAGGTTTCAGAAGTGGCGAGATTCACATCCAGGCGTCTCAGCTCAGCCAGCGGCAGATTAAGCCACCACATCACTCGCATGAAAACCGACTACGATGCACTATTGCCACGTGGGAGCAAGCCACACTAGCCACACTATGTCTTGATCCGGCCAGCAATCATCTCAAAGAACGAGGTGACTTTCGGCTGAGGAAGTCTGGGCGAGCGGGCTGAGGGATCCAGGGCTGTCCAAGGGGTTGCTTGTTCGGACACTCCGAAGGCAAGGTCAGCCGGGGCAGTGGCCCAGAGAGGAAGATGTATGCAGACGAGGTGCCGAATTAGGTAATTGGAAAAAGCCACAGCACATGAATCTAGACTCTGGGCCATGGGGACTTCGTACTTGGGTTGGCAAAAGGCCAAAGGAGGGGCAGCCAGGGGGGTTGTCAGGTGTGAGGGGATGGGAAAGGGGAGAGTTGGCACATGTGGGCAACTTAGACGAGGGCGGCCAGGGCCATGGCACGCATGGCTACTTTGTTTGGCGTGGGCAAAAAACATCCCCGGGTAGCCAAGTGGCCACTGAGGGTTAGAGTTTCTTGGGCGCAGAAACTAACACTGGGTCGGAGCAAAGAGAGGAGGACGAATGTGGACAATGCTTTACAAGTAGGCAGCGAGGGCGAAGGAGCTGGGCTGGATGGAAGCAGGTGGAATGGGCCTGCAGATTGGCAGCACAAACCGATCTCCGGGGGACTGAGGTAGCTGCAGCGAGCGGAAGCGATGCGTGAGTAGTCATAGGCTGATTCAGTCTTGACCTCGGAGACTGTGCCCGGGGTTGTTGGATGAAAACAGCAAAGCAAGCGAATGAAGCCCGAGAGGCAGGGGGCCTGTTCGCCGATTTGGGGCTCGACAGATGACACGACCCCCAAACAGGTGCATCTTAATTCCTTCCAAATGAGATTCACAGACGTCAGGGGACGCCGTGGTCGAGAACGTTCTGATGTGATGAACTGCACGAGCCAGGATCCATTTTGTGCGCGAGAGGTGACGGCGGACGAGGGCGCATTGATTGCGTTTTTGAGAGGGCGAGATCTCGGTGAGGTCGAAGTGTAACGAGTCGGAGGAAGTGGAGGAAGTGGAGGTCAAGGTGGAGGAGGTTGGGCGACGGATGATGTTATTGATGAGGACGAGAGGATGAGAGCGCACTCGTATGATGTTGAAATCTGTTTGATGGGTGATAGTGGTAATGATGATGTACCTGGTGGTGCAAGTGCTGAAGAGCAGAAAATCATTTCCCTTTCACCTCCTAGTCGACGCCAAGCCAGAAACCAACAGAAATCAAATCATCCACGGCGATCACCCAGAAACTCCAAACTCTGAAGCAAACAATTGTCAGTATTGCGCACTGTTCAGCTGCCCATGCAAACCTGAGTAGAGAAATCAGGCCCCGGTAATGAGGGGGTTTCCACGGCATTGGCCGCCCATAATGCCTGAAAGATCGAAAATCCCGCCTGAAAATCCCGCTCGAGTGACGGGGTGTCACAGTCAGTCACTGAGTAATAGATACTCGGTACAGTCCCTCCAAGTATGCACGAGTACCTTACGCCTACGACGAAACCAACTCAAAGCACTCACTCATGGCACTAAACTACCCAGCTACTCATAAGTGTCCACTAGTCACCTACGAGAACCTCATACTGCGATGTAAGTCGTAGATTTATCGGCCTCCCCCGGCAGCCTCGAAGCCTGAGCCCACTAACCTACCCGGCCACTAGCTAGAAGCCACACCTAGCCCAGCCCTGGAAGGTCCCCCCAATCGCCCCCATCCCTCCCTCGCTCCACCCCTGGTCGATTTTCTCGAGGGCAGCAGGACTAGCCTAAGTGCCTAAGCTAATGAAGACAAGGGCCCAGGGTCCTCGGTGATGATCCCTGCTGAAGCCGCAGCTCCCATCCAATCACACTTCCGATCCCCATCGCCTTCTCCGTATCTTCTAGGGCGGAGTCTCAGTTAAGCTGATCCAGCACCCCAGCAATTATTTGCTGCATGGGCGTCTGCTAAGGTTTTCGGTTTCTCTTTTTGCGAGACGAAACCAAAAAAAAAACAGGCGAGAATGGAAAAAAGCAAAGAGGAATGAATATGTAAAGCCACAACCTAAATTGTCCTGCGTGCCAAACTCCCGGAATCAGCTAGCGAAATGACCCTCCAGCGCCAACACCAGCACCAGCGCCAGCAGCATTACTACTACCACTACTACCACCACCACCAGCAACGGCAACGGCAGTACCAAGTTGCATTTCGATTCATACTTCCAACAAACCTCTCGCATCTAATTCGAATCGAATCTTCCATCAAACGTCTGGACCCGCGCCTTTTCTTTCTTTAATTGTCCACATGTCCGCTCCCCCCCACTACCACCATCGCTCACTCCACCACCAGCATAACCACCCCCAACTCCTATAGAAAACACCTCGTCAGATCTTGTTTCCTTAAAAAGGTGCCCTTCGTCGGCCTGTCCCGAGCTTCAAATTTCCCTTTTGACCAAGCTGTTGCGCACCCAATGTAAGTTCCATCTCATTTATCAAGAGTGAGGAAAGAGTGGAAGATGAAAAGAGTTACGGTGGGCTGGCCATGCGTGTCGTCATCGGTCGCAAAAGAGCCAGGACAAGAAGGCTGCGTCTGGAGGGAGGATGGGATGTGTGTATACACCCTGCGCCCCTCCCAGAACCCCGTGCGGTTTGCAGGCGACAGTCGTGGTCCTGCAAATCTCGGTCTACGCGAGTCTTGGTTTTCCATGTCGTGAACGTTTCATATACTGACTTCCCCGACCACACAGATCACTTCCACATTAGTCCACAGACTACCCTCCTACAATCAACACACAACCATACTGTCGCTATACAAACCAATACCTGCCCTGACAAACACGAACACGAGTCCTGAATCTTTGAGAATCGGCATTCCCAGCCAGGCGCAACTCTGACCGACTCCGACTCTAGGCCATGTCCGCTGGGCCAACGGTTCAAGCTGGCGAATAACTACCATTGTTCTCTTCTGCCCCGTGCGGCTTCAGGTCAATTCGAAGCCGCTGACCTCAGGTCTTTCACCGGCGTCTCCTACGCCGTGGCAAACCACGATCACCTGTCGTTACAGACATCGCAGCTATCTCCAGGCCCAGTCCCCGGAAAGACATTTTCCTCCGCGTACACCCTCCTGACCCCTCCCTACGCAAGCACAGATGTTACGCTTCACCATCAGTATTCCATGACCTCAGACTCGTCGACCAAATCGACCCCGTCCTCCCAGACCCTCCAGAACAGCCCTCGCTCCATGACGGAGCTCGAGGCTCCTCCACAACCCAAGTCGGACAACGTCCAATCGGCGAAACAGAAACGGGTAAGGACTGGGTGTTTGACGTGCCGCGAACGCCACCTCAAGTGCGATGAGGCCTTACCCAACTGTCAGAATTGCCTCAAATCCAATCGAAAATGTAAGCGCGGCGTGCGCCTCAACTTCATCGACATCCACTGCCAGCAGCCTCCGTATCTAGTCCCGCGTACGCGCGACTGGAAGGTCACTTTCCAAGATGACTCGCGCGACATTGCGTCTGAGTATCAAGGAGGCCTCGAGAAATATCACTCCCTTGAACCGGAGCCCAAGCGGCAAAAATTGGACGTGTCGAGTGTAACCTACGACTACAGTCAGATTGCAGCTCAAACCATCTCTCACCAGCAGCTTTCAGCTCATCAATCCTTTTCTCATTCCTATCCCGAGACGGCACAAGCCATGTACTCCAACTCCACTGCACAAGCTTATGATGACACAGCGAATACCATGGGAGCTTACACAGATGCGACTCAGGCAATGAGGCAGTCTTACCACCAACAGACCATGCTTACATCCATCGACCACGAACAAGGTTCCCCTCGCCTGGAGGACCGGAACGAGGTCCTGTACATGCAAGTCTACGTGGAAGAAGTGGGCCTGTGGATGGAC